AAGCGTTATATCAATAAAAAATTTTTTGATTCATAAGTTTCATGCTGATTTTAGGTGATGCGATAAAATGTAGTTGTTTTAACGTAAAGTCAATAATTGAGTAGGTTTTAACGTAAGCTCAAATATTGTAATAATCATAAACATGTAATGTTTAATAGCCTTATTTTAACGTCTTTATTTGTTACAAACCCGGATTTTTTGCTTCTCGCAAATATCCTTTACTCATTTTTTGCAATGATTACAGATTCGTGTGAACAAGCAATTTAATTATATTGAGTAAACTTAGAATCGAAGAAACACAATGCGTGTTTTACTTCATCATGTTTTGGTATATACCCTGGCGGTTTCAGCAGCACGGTGAAAGCACGGTCGCTTGACAGTTGTTTCACGGTCGTTTCACCGTATAAAGTTCGTTCTTACCGAGCGATCTATCAGTCAGCATCGGATACCGCTGTGAACGATGTCTACTATTAATTTATTGAATATATACGGTGTATACGCAAGTGAATCTACGATGTTATGACCGATGCTGTACGCTCAATATACTGTCGAAATACGGTGATTTTACGCTACTGTCACGAACAATAAAATAAAAAAAAATACTCCGGACAGTCTAGACCGGGACTCGAACCCGGTTCAAATGGTCGCACGCCCGAAACTTTACCAGTTGGGCTATCTGAGACAACGCACGGGGTATTTGATTCAGTGACATAATAAGTTGTCAAAACCAAGTCATTTTTTCATTGTACAGATAAAAATAGCTTAAATAAAGCTATATTTTTTCCAGGACTTCAAAATAATAATCGTAATAAATGATTCAAATTTTTGATGACTACGAAATTCTTGATTTCGAAATTGCGATGAAATTATTAACTGTATAAAAAAAGATCTGAAAAAGAAATTGCTAAAAATTTAATTGTTAAAAAATCTCAGAATAATTTTTCTTGATAACAAACAATTGTTCCGTAATTTCGTAATTAAAGTTTTCGTCTCTAAAAAAAAAAAACTCAAATTTTTAACAATGGATTCAAATTTTTGAATTAGGGTGAAAATATTTGACGTGTAGAAAATAAGTTCATAGTTAAGTTGAAATTAAATTATAATGTATTAATTAATT